GGCCCTTCTGTTATAGTTCACCTACTCCTGCAAATGCCGAAGATCCATATTCTGCCGCGTGCCTGCCGCAACCCATTCCACGGCTCACGTAACACAGGAATGCACCATGGCTTCCTGCCCTTGATTTTTCGGCCCAGGCATAATTTCCCACTTTCCTTTGGTTAATTAAAAGCAAATACCTCTTTGTGGGGCAGATAGCTGCTCTATCAATCATGCCAGGACACAGTGGCCTCACTGAACGTGATTTTTAATTGAACGATGCCCACTCCTGAGACCTTTGTGTCTTTCATTCATCTGTTATATACATGGTAAAGGTGACACTTAACGAGGTATGTGTCAGGCTCTCTGACATGGAGTGGCCTCGTTAGATAAACACACTCTTCCACGTTTTGAAAATGTGACGTTCGGCATTTTGGGGCCTACGTGATGTTAGAATGCAATGATTCTAATAAATGCAAAGATAGCTCACTTGATTATCAAGATAACCTCTTGGCAGCAGAAACAATAACTTCTTGAGAGACAGCACATCAGGATCATGCCATTGGCTCTGTCCTAGGGTCATACCAGGAGTAAGTGAGCCATTTGGTAGGAGGGAGAAGAGGCTCACTTTAGCCCTACTTCAGTGAGAGGCAGAATAATGCAGTGATTACACCTGGCGGCTCAGGACCCAGACTATGTGGGCTCACGTTGCAGCAATGCTGACCAGGGAAATTACTTTAAATGCTTTGTGCCTCACTTTTCTCATCAGTAAAATGGGGATAATGACAGTGCTTCCCTCATATGGTTATTGTTGAATGAGTTAATACATAGAGAAGTGCTAGAACAGGATCTGGTATATATGGATGCTTATGAAATGCCAATAGTTTAATATTTATGTGCTCCTGTCTGTTACTTGACAATGTCAACAAAATTAGGTATTTAGAATGAATGTATTTAGGGTTTTATTTCGGGGTGGGGGGAGGAGGCAAGAGGATAGGTTTCTTTTACTTTTCCTCTGAAGCACTTAGTCCTTAGAGCCTGGTGGGTAAGCACATGAGGCCACAAGCCAGGCTGCTGGGCTTTAAATTCCAACTCGGGTTCAAATCCTTGGCTAGCCTCAGAAATGTGCTTGCACGCTGGAAGATTCTGAGAAGCTCAGTGGAGAGCAACAGTTGGAAAATCAGAAGAACTAAGCACACACAGTCTTTGCCAAGTTAAAAGTGCTTGTTAAATACCTCAGGCTTTCCATTTAAGGTTCATTAAAGTGAAGATGATGTTCTAGGCCTAAGAGACTTAGACTAAGGGCACCTTAGACTAAGGGCAAAATCAAAATAGATGCACAATAACAAAATGGAAAACAAAACCTTTGCAAGCTCAAGCTGATCAGCCAGTAATTTAACTGCCTGTCAGAACAAAGCCCAGCATGCCCAGAGTATCAATAACATATCATCCACAATGTCTAATATGCAAATAGCAATTATTAACGATATGAAGAAACAGGAAAATTGACACATGGTCAAGGACGGAATTCAAATAGAAACCAACACCAAGATGACCCAATGTTGGAATTGCAGACAAGAACGGTAAAGCAACTCTTAAGTTGACTTAAAGGAAAAGATAGTCATATTGAATGGACAGATGGAGAATTGCAAGACAGAAATAAAAATCTATAAAAATAAGCAAAGTTAAATTCTATAACTGAAAAACAAAATGTCAGAAATACCAAAAAAAAAAAAAAATCCACGAGATAAGCTTAATAGCAGATTGGCAATGGTGGAAGAAAAGGTAGGTAAACTTGAGTACAGACTAATAGTAACTATCCGAAGTGCTAACTAGAGAGAACAAGACCTGAGGGACTCGTGGAACAATATCAAGCAGTCATTTGACACGTGATTAGAGCATCCAAAGGAGAGGAGAGAGCACGGGGCAGAAAGAATATTTGAGGAAACAGTGGCCAAAATTTCCAAAATTTGGTATGAAACATGTATTTATGGATTCAATGATCACAGTGAGCCACAAGTTTAAGTCCAGAGAAAAAACAAAAACAGCCAGCAAATCATAGTCAAGCTAAAGTCAACCAAAATAAAGAAAAATACTTACGAGCATTCAGAGAATAATAACGTATGATATACAAAATCAACAGTTCGAATTTCTGATAACTTTTTATCAGAAATTTGGAGGTAAGAAGATGATGGAAGTACATCTTTAAAGCGCTGAAAGGAAAATGTAACCCAGAATTCTATATCCAGTGAAATAGACCTTCAAAAATGGAGGTGCTATAAAGGCATTTAAAAATAAATCAGATGAAAGCTAAAAAATATTTGTTGCCACCAGACCTGCACTGAAAAAAATGCTGAAGAAGTCCTTCAGCTAAAAGGGAAATGATACCAGGTGGGAACTTGGATTGGTGGAAGGGAACGGAGATCACTGAAAAGAATAAATATGTGAAAGAGTGCAAAATGCTAAATCCCCCCGACGTAATTTCTTTAAAAGACACGTGTCTATTTAATACAAATAATGTAAAAATAATACCACTCAATTGTGGCGTTTATAACATTTCTAGATGTAAAATGTATGATAAAAACATAAAGGACACAGGATAACAAATGGATTATATTGTTCTCACATTTTATGTAAAATCCTACAATATGAACTCTGCATACACTGTGCTAAGTCAAAAATGACTGTTGTAATCCGTAGAGCAATCACTGCAAAATAAGAAAGAGGCACTGCTTAAAAGACAATAAAAGAATCCAAATAGGGTAATAAAAAATACTGAGTTAACCCAAGAGAAGATAGGAAAGGATAAACAGAAGAATAAAAGAAGAGATGGGACAATGGAGAACCAACAGCAAAATGGTGGACCTAACACAACCAGATGAATAACCGCATTTAGTGTAAACTAAAGGCTCCACATATGTTGTCAGGGTGAATAAGAAAGCAAGACTCCACTACATGCTGTCCGCAAGAAATGCACTTTAACTCTAAAGACATTGAAAATAAAAGAGTTATCAAGAAAGCTGATGTGGTTCTATTAGTATCAGGTGAGGTAAACCTCAGGACAAGGAGTATTGCCAGAGACAAAAAGGGACATATCATAATGATAAAATAACCAAACAGGAGGTCACACCAATCCAAAATGTGGACACATCTCCTAACAGCGCTTCAACATCTGTGAAGCACAAGCCGACAGAACGAAAGGGAGAAATACAGAATTCCATGATCATGGTGGGAGGTTTCAACACCCTGTGGCAGTGATAGGACAAGTAAACGACTAAAAAATTAGAAAATGAACAAGCAAGTCACAGAACGGGAGACAATATTTGCAATATGTATGTCTGGCAAAGAACTTGTATCCAGAACATATGAAGAACTCTTGCAAATCACAAGGCCAACCATGCAGTGAAAAGCAGGCAAATGACTTGAACAGATATTTCAAAGAAGTTATACGAGGACCAAAAGATCCGTGAAAATGGCGACAACACAATTGTGGACATTTTTCAAAGCTTGCACTTAAAATGTATCCTTAAGATCTGTGCATTTCACCGTATATAATTTTTACCTTAATAAAAATAGTGCAGGAGGGCAAAGAAGAGAAGGACCTAGGTTTGAACCCCAGCTCAGCCATGTGGTCTCGGTGGCCTTGGGCAAGTTACTGAACCTCTCAGAGCCCCAATGTCTTTATCTGTAAATGGGATGAGTATGGACTCTTCACGGGGCCACTGAGAAGATTCAACATAACACCACAGAGAGGTGACACGGCTGGTCCATAGGAGGAGAGGCACCCTATTAAACAGCTTAATGGTCTTTGCTCCCCAACCACCTTCCTCCCCTCCCACCTCTCAGCTCTTCAAAATTCTATTTCCACGGATTCCTGCAGGACAAGCCGTGGAGGAAAGGAGAGTGGGAAATGTCCCAACCCACCACGGTGGTGGAGACCATGTGACCAAGAGAACAAAATCCCATTGCCGTCATGTCCTCACTCTGACTGTCAACATGATGTGGAAAAGAAACCGTTCCTACGGGCAACTGCTCACATATAACCATGACTCAGAGCCCCTGAGAACTGACACCTTGCCCCAGGTGTGGGGGACTCCTTGCTAGGTGGGCATCTTCATGTAGTAAAATCTGGCTTATCTGGCATTCTAGCAACTAAAAGTGAATTGAACAGCGTGAAGACAACCTTGAGGTACTCAATGAAATAAAAATTAAATCCTGTCAAGTTTTAATATTAAATATGAATATTCTGTAATAAAATGCTTGAAAACTTGCTAATCCTTTTGTGTCTATATGCATATTGTGTCCCTATCTGTCATCTACCTAACTACCTACCTGTAAACACCTGTCTGTAGCCATCATCACCCATATCTAAATGATATCAGAGAATCATTCCTTTTAGGGCTGACAGTATCATTTGGTCTGTTTCATTTTGGTGGCATAAGATAGAGACGCAGGGAGGTGAAGAACTTGTCCCGGGGCTGGGTAGTGTATGGCTCTTTTAGGATTTCCTATCCTCCAGCCCAGATATCATGGAGCATTTACTCCCCTGTGGTCAGTTTAGCTTCCCGCAGCCTTTTGGTATCACCTGTGTGAGGCGCAAATGTGCCCAAGGAACCATACCTTGGTAACTCACGCCATGTGTGAAAGAGAATCCAAAATGCAAGAGGCTAATGCCTTATTGAAGGAAGGTGGGCTGGAGATAGAAATTGTGGTTTTCGATTTCAGTGACACGTGGGGACATTTCAGGAAGGATTCCTGCGATGGGAGGAGGTCGATCTGGATGGGACAGTAAGGGCTGTTTATGCAAAGGAAAGAGCTGTTTCTACCTGTTGGATGCTCAGCTAGATGCAAGGATGAAGTGATTTATAGCAGGATGCGATGGGGGAGTTTAAAAGAGATGGGTGCATCAGCCTAAGGAAATCATCTGCTAGGGTCCGTGTTCGTGGGAAACTAACGGCAGGATTTGAACATTTAATTTGAACGAGGGAGGGGTACTGGGAACCAAGAAAGGCAACAAGTACCTTGATGACCACATGCAGCATCATTTGCAAGCCATTTTTGCCAGGGTACTTCCCCGCAATGTTAGCTGCTGACAAGTTGAAGAGGTTGGCTCCCGTTTCGGTGCAGATGGCGTGGACCAGCATTTTCTTCCCTACCCCCGATGGCCCTGCCAGCAGCAGGGATTTCACCAAAGGAGCCTTCTCATGCACCGTTGCAGAACCTACAAAAGGCAGAGGCAAAGGCTCTAAAATCCTGCAGAGAAGCTCAGCGACTCTGAGACGAGGATCCCTCAAGGCTGTTCCTCCAGTGTGTGACCCCAGTTTCTGCAACAGTAATGAATGCGTCCAAAGCATTTCTAACCGGAGGCACATCCCCCGTCTGAGTTGGCCTGTGACACCTTTGATTTGTATGTCAGGGCTCGAGGTGGGGGCCACCAGGATCTCCTTGCTTATTCTGTACGTGGCTTTCCCTGTTACACCTCACCCTAGAATTTCCCCCACACTCATAATTCTAAAGAACATTCCTGCAATAACTTACCTCTGGCATTTTTTCTAGGGTGGGGGGGGTGGGTTTCTCTGCTTGTTGGCAGTGGCATTATATTCTTTGAAAGCTTAGGAAAAGGAATGTGGACATGCAGCCGCAGCCCGTAAGGGGGCTGGGAATGTTCATTAGTGGTTGTCAGCCGCAGCCCGTAAGGGGGCTGGGAATGTTCATTAGTGGTTGTCAGGAGGGAAAGGGGAGAAGTAAGAGCCAGGTGTAAGTAGCTGGACTTCCTCAGTCTGCCCCGGGTTCCAACCCGTTGATGAAGTGCCTTGAGTTACTACGCAGGTACTCAGAGGCCGGCCACACTGCCCATCTCCTCCGGGCCAGAGCGGGACTCGGGCTCGAGCATCTTCTGTCGTCCTGAACACACGCGGAGCGCACGTTGGCATGAAGTAATTATGAAATGAAATCCTGGAAAGTGCTGTGATCAAAACATCTACTATCATGTGGCAGATAATTCTTGCTTGGGGCAGCGGCTGGGCACTTTTTGATCAGATGTGAATATATCCATAATAAGATTATTATTGTGCCTTTCTCTCTTTCTTTTCTTGTGTAACTGAAAAGATATAGGGAATTTACCAAATAATCAAGAACAGTTTTTATGGTTACCTAACAAACTTGGAAGCCAGTTTTGAGCAAGTTCTGTTTAAAATGCAGTGACACAGGTGTGCTTTATCTGTGGTCAGCGAGGGGTACGGTAACGTAATATGATAAAGGAGATTCTGTTGCTCACGATTGGAGACAGACGCCATTCACCGGGTGGTCCGTTCAGCCCCTGGTATTGGGGGCTGCTCAGTTCATGGCCCTGGCTGGGGGCTGGTGGGGAAGAGTCAGGACTTGCTGAACAGAGTTTACGGCCAGGACGGCAGCTGAACCTGAGTGGACGCGACCAGAACGGGAAGCAAATTGTGCTGACCCCGTGCGAGCCACGGAGGGTTCAGAAAAGGGGGGGGGCTAGTGGGGGAGCTCAGGCCCGACTTCCGGGAGAGGGTGGAACCTGAGCTAGCCCTGAAGGAGCAGAACTGAGACATGTGGAGACAGAGACCCTTGAGAAAGTGCCGGGCAATGGGGCACAGTGACTGCGGGCCTGCAGTGGGGCGTCAGGCAGGTGCCGGGGAGCGGCAGATGATTCTTGCTAGCAATGTAACAGGGGACAGCAAGGGGCTGGGGAGGGAGACTGAGGCCAGCTGTAGGGGTCCCTGGGAGGTGGCGGAGGGTTGCAGATGTGCCAAAGGTGCTGGCCGAGCGCCGTCCTCCCTTTTCTCCCTCCATGTTCTGGGGGGCAGTCATATTTCTGGGAGGGTGAATGGGTGAACGCTGACCGGATGTGTCCCGGTTCTCTCATATCTGCCCAGGGGGCTTGGAAAGCTCACACCTCCTCCTGGGAGCCCGGGCTGAGGCTCTTGGGGCTCTGGAGGCCAGCGGGTGCTTGCGTTGCTTGGCCATGGTGCAGAGTGGCCTCACGGCTTTTCCTCAGGGCCCTCTGCAGAGTGGCTGGGCTGACTGGTCCTGGCAGTGGTGACTTGAACACAGGGCCAGCAAACACATTCCGTGTTGCCACTGGATACGATTTTAGATCTATGAAATTTAAAGGAAGCACCCGAAGGCAGATCTGTGAATGTTCTCATCTGTCTGGCCGGTTTGTGCCTTGCAAACACACACACCAGTCCCCAGAAGAAACCCCTGCTGGCTCTGGGACCTGGGGAGGTCAGCAGCCCGTAGGGACTTCGGGTTCCTCATTGACATGAGGAGGACTCAGGTGGGATGCTTCCTGAGCATCCTTCTTCTGATGTTTTTAAGGCCGCTTGGAAACAATATCCATTGTTTTGTATCCTCGAGCCAAGGATCAAACATACTGCCCCCTTTAATGATGTCTTAGGAGTTCTGTTAACAACATGCTGGGTCTTGGTGCTCTCTGCTCTACTGTTTTTCCATCTCACTGTGATTTTATTTTATTTTGCATGGGCATATCATAAATATTGCATATCTATTTGGTTGACCCCAGAAGTATCATATAGTTATTTATGATATAAACTTTGTATATATAAAATTTATGTTGACCCCCAATTCCACTTACTACTTCTGACATTAAATTAAAAGAGGAATGAACCACTTCTTGCCAATAGGTCTAAGTCAAAGGAGAACAATATTATAAGTGCCCAAACTATTCCCATATTATTTTAAAGCCAGTTAAACAAATAAAACATGATTTCTATTTCAGAATTGTCATCAGAGCCAGGCCTGGCTGCCCCAGATGACTCAGGTCATACACATAAAAAGGTTATTAAAATGATAAGTGTGAAGGAGAGCATCAGAGAGCCACCCTTCCTGCACCTGCATCGCAGAACTCTGGTCCACTGGTCTGAACAATCATGATGGAATCTTATTTAGCAGTTAGAGTGGACGTCAGTGAAAACCAGCAGAGCCTTGATCCTTTAGATTCATGAAATACACTTTCACTGATTCATGAAAGGCCGGCTTTGTTAAGGACCCAGTAACAGAAGCCTGTGTATAAAAGGCAAGCCTAACATTAGCCCTTTGTCTAATTTGATTAATTTTAATTGCAGGTGCTTGCTTTGGTTATTATCTCTCCTGATGATTGCTGACAGGACTTTCAGCCCAGAATGTTAAGCAGGCACTCAGAAGTGGTGTGGACGTGCTCCCTGGGTAGCACCTTCCTGTGCTCTCCAGGATGCACGGTTGCACTAGAACTACCCTCACTCAAAATGAGCAGCACAAAGAATTCAACCAGGAAGATGCTGCCAAAGGCACCAAGCAGTGCACCCCTGCTTCTAGGAAACGTGCAACAGGGTGTGGAGACTTTACCTAGTGGCAAGATCCCGTACAGGGCGATGAGCTGTCTGACATCCAGGAGGGAAGGCATGGGTTCTATGGATACCTGGCGAAGCGTGGTCCCCAGGTAACTGTACTCTCCTGGAGGAACAGAAACAGAGGATAAGTAAATGGGAGACTGTGTTGGTCTGAGCTGCATGATCTTGGCACCTGCAAAACTAACACAGAACACATAGTCAACATTTCTGAGCAAATAGAATGGTGTTGCAGGGAGTCATGGAGAACACATCTTCTCTCAGATAAAGGCTTGAGAAAACCCGTCCGGTCATGAAAGCGCCGCTATCCCCCTGTAGTAATGGGGCATTCTGTTGAGTAGGACGCTAACCTCCTCGGATTTCTAAAAATAACCTTTGAATACCTGAAGTAGAACTAAGTTCTAAAATGAAGGACCTACAAAGTAGACTAAAATATGGTAGGCTTTATTTAATTTATATTTATATTCCAAGCAGTTATGCCTAACATTGGCATAAACTTTAAAAATAAATTATTTAAGATCAATGTGGAATTTGTATTGGAGCAGTGTAAATCTGAACCCAAAATGCAATCATTTGAAAGGAAGGATATGAGTCTAATTTAGGATAAATAGAAACATCTCCTTTTGCAGGTAATATTCATTTACATTTTTATCATTTTCAAAGGATTACCAAAGGAATAATACAGAAATAAATCTTTACAGGTTTAATTAGAAGGCACCAAAGGTCTTAATTGTAACTAGTCATAAATCTGAAGTGTTATTTTCTAACTAATTTAGATAAGGTCACCAAGAAAATTAGTTTGCCTGTCTCCATTTGTCATGAGGAGGGACCTTTATATGCTCATACAGTTCTCTCTTGATTTGTACCTGAATCTGAAGGAAAAATATTCAATGCATGAGTCACAGTGTCTTGAAATTTTTTTTTCTGGCTTTTTCTTTCTATAAGAGGTATGGATTTTGCAGAGCTTTTGATGTTCTATACATATGTCCAATAGATTGAGCTTACATGTATGTGAATTAAGAAAAGCTTTAAAGCATTTTCAAATGCTAAGAAAATTAGAATTAAGGACCAGATAATGCTGGTTGTTTTGTTGTGGAGGGCAGGCTTTCAAAGCTCCCACATGAAAAAAAAAAAAAAAAGTCCTTGGCAAGGACAATGGGTATTGGTGGGGAGAATGCGTGATAGTGAAAACTTCCATTGCAGCTTCTGATCCCTGAGCTTTTTAATGAGCAGGTAATAAATAGGAGAGTGGTTAATTTCGCCTTCACTAGAGCAGGAAGAGATCCTGTAGCCTCCGTTAAATCCAGTACTTATTGCTGTAAACATGACATTAGAGGTGATCTGAAAGTGACCCCAATTTTCCTGCTTAAATAAATCCATATTAATACCCAGATGCACCATATTTTCTAGGACCTAACAGATTTCGTTTAGACACATTATATTAAGTTGAATTAGTGGGTGGTGGTTCTGATGGAGCGAAGGACACCACCAGCCCCAGCTGCTTGCCAAGCGTTGGGACTTATCCTGAAAGCGTGTGGCTGTGTTTCACCATAAACCCTTCCCTTCCACTCAGGCAGAACTTAGAAACTTCAGGATTCCCTGCACAGATCCCAGGTCTTCTGAAAAGGCATTTTAAGTACAAGGCATGAACAAGGGCAAGAAAGCCTACAACAGTGGACGGAAAAGAAACAGGGAACGTGTTACGGGTGGGTCTGACTGTGTTTCCTTACAATTCCTATGTTGAAATCCAGGTCCCTGATATCGCAGAAAGTGACCTCATTTGGAAATATGGTCATTGCAGATACAACTAGTGAAGGTGAGGTGATTAGGGTGGGTCCCAGTGCAATATGACCAGCGTCATTTATAAAAAGGGGCCATGAGCATGCAGGTGTGAAGCTGGATGCAGGCATGTGGAGGTGCAGCAGAACGCCAGAGGCTACAGCTAGCCTCCAGGGGACAAGGCGAGGGATGAAATGATGACGTCATAGGAGCGCAGGGACATCGGGGCAGCCAGGCAGGAGGGCTGGCAGCTGGAGCAAGAGAGACATGGGGCTGGGGGGTGCATAGAGGCTATAGCAAAGCAACAGCTTCTCCCTCAATCCTCAGAAGGAACCAGCCTTGCCGACACCCTGATCTTGGACTTCTAGCCTCCAGACTGTGAGGGAATGTTTGTGACCCCTGTTACAGCAGCCCTAGCAAACTCGTACAGAAGGAATCAAGTAATGGAAGAGAATGGGGACATCAAAGCAGGAAAAAAAATAACGAGAAATAAAAAAAAAATATTTGAGAAATAAGGGTGGGATCAGCCTCCAGTGTTCCATTCTACCCCACACAGCATCAGAAAGAGTATGAAGAAGGAGAGCAATTTATAACGAGTCCTAGCTTCCCAAATACGCTCCTCGGGGACCAGGGGCAGAGGCCCAAGAGCAGATGCTGCTGGTCGGTGTTTGCCCCCCCCTGCCAGCCCCACTCCACCAGGGCTGCACACGAACCGTCTCCCAGCAATGAGGACGGGCACGCGTGTTACACGGTCACGGGTCAGGAGTACGGACTTGTTCATAAGCTGTGTGTGCTGGACCCAGGCGGCCCATCTTCCGGGACGAGGTCAGCAGAGAGATGGCTCCAGGTGGACTCGGTGTTGTGACAGTTTTGCTGAGATTGTGCGGGACGTGCTGGGGTGTCATTGACTCTGAAGCTCTGGGGGGGTTTCATGTGTGTGAATATGTAAGTCATACCATCTAAGATGCTGAGTTTTCTCCTCTGTAGGGCAGGCTCTGAACACCAAGGAGAGTACGAGAAACACTAACTCTGGCCTTGGGTCAATGTTCCCCCAAAGGCACAGGGACTGAAACATGGATGGGGCCGGATAGTTTAGGGGAATATTAATTTGTGTTTGCTCTCCCTGTATTTTGGCCTCAGGCAGTGGCCTTGCACTCACTGCTTCTGTGATGTGGCCTGGTGGGGGGACACCCATAGAGACACCACGAAGTCATAAGCCGTCTGATTGGCAGCCCGCCGAGCCTGCCAAAGACTGGGCAAGAATGTCACCACCAGCAACAGCAGGACAATAACTAGCTTGGCGCCAAGCCAAGCATGCCCCCTGAATGCCCCATCTCTTAACTCACTATTTACAGTGATTTAACAAGGCAGGAGCTGTGATTGTTCCCCTAATTGTGGAAACTGAGGCACAGAAGGATCACACAAAGGACAAGCATCCTTCAGAAGGTGAGGGGTGAGAGAGGGGACATTCTGTCTTTCACATTTTATTTCTCTTAAAGCATTATTTATTCATTCTTGGATTCATTATAATTTATTTTCTAAAATGATTTTTCTCTTTATTTCTAATATTCCTTGGGTTTTGTTTGCTCATTTCTGAGGTTTTCTAATTCCATTCTATGTATTCTTACAGTTCTTCTGTAATTTTCATATAAGCTAACATATATGTTAGCTTGCTTGAGAGAGTGGGCTCCATCTATGTGTCTTTTTGTGATGTTAATTTACCCCTCGTTCTTCTTTTTGATAGAAACGTTGCATGGGCTTTGATCTTGGAGGTTTCCATTGCTTAATTTTATGTGAGATAGTATTTTTTCTACTTTTAGAAGAAAGTTTGGTGCGGGATAGCTTTTTAAATGTCATAGAGCCCCCGCTTCTGTTGTTTCCAGAAAAATTAAAAGCCCGGTGGTGTGCTTTCTTGAGGTGGCCAAGCCCCTCCCAGTTCCGGCTGTAGCTGCTGCCTTGGTCTGCTGGACCTCCCTGTGAATGCCTGCTGGTTATTTTGGCATTCTTCTGCTCTGTGTCCCCAGCTCCTTGTACTTGGGGTTTGAGGGGACACCTTGTCATTTAGTTTTGGTGTAAATGTCCTCAGGTTTCTGCTTTTGCTATCTGGTTGCTCTGCCTATTTTTACATGGGGGTTTGGGATGATCCACTGCCATCTTTCAAGCTAAGGATCTTAACTAGGAAAAAATAAGGAAAACATGGAAAAGCCCTCATGGCAGTTTGACTGATTTTGTTTTAGACTGGGTCATTTTCTTTTTCTTTTTTTTTCTTTCAATTTTTTAATTAAAATTCCAGTTAGTTAACATGCAGTGCAATATTGGTTTCTGGAGTAGAATTCAGTGATTCTTCACTTACATACAACACCTAGTGCTCATTACATCAAATGCCCTCCTTAATCCCCATCACCCATCTAGCCCTTCCCCCACCCACCTCCCCTCCAGCAACCCTCAGTTTGTTCTATATCTTTAAGAGTCTCTGTGGTTTGCTTCTCTCTTTTTTCTCCCCCCGCCCATGTGTTCATCTGTTCTGTTTCTTAAATTCCACATATGAGTGAAATCATACAGTATTTGTCTTTCTCTGACTGACTTATTTTGATTAGCATAATACTCTCTAGCTCCATC